TATAAGTCTGGGGGTCTCCACCGCCACCCCGGCTATTACGTCAGCCAGCTCAGGCAGGGCCGTTGATACATAGCAGGGGGCCAGGTATATAATCAACAGGCCCACTTGTACCCCTTGCCCCCACTTCACAAGGAGGGACTCTCCACCGTCTATCTGAGGCACAGTGGTCTCCCTCGGACATAGGCTCTCCCTTATAATGTTAATAGTTAATAGCTAATTGATGGTCATTATGTTAAATGTTAATAGTTAATTGATGGTCATTAAATAGTTAATAGTTAATTGATGGTCATTATGAAGCTGTTTTTCCTCTCTGCCATCTCTAGGACTTCCAAGGTTTGATCTTTTGTTACTCCACAAGATTCTCAAGATTCTCCTTAAAACCATACTTCAAAGGCTTTTAGACTGTTCTTACTCTCCCTTGGACATTCTTCAGGTTTCACAATTATAAAGGAGAATTGACCAAATATAGCATCTGATCATTCCAATTCTTCATTTTAAATCTATTTTCCTTGAGATTTGAATATTTTTAATTTCTAAAACAGCATTCCAGGCATTTTTTATTTGCTTCCTTATATCACCAGGTTTTTTTTCTCATCTTCTAAGTTTAAATTTTCAAAATCAACAAAATGTTGTCTTGTTAAAGAAAGGTATAATTGATTATTGTTTTTATTCTGCATCTTCACTTTTTGTATTAAAATGTAACCTATACTTTTTACTATTCTCAGGCTCTTTAGTTCTTCTTTCAGTTCCATCAGGAGCACAGTACCATCTGTATATCTTAAATTATAAATTATTTATTGACAATCATGGTGAAGTTCTTAGTTCATCAAATATTTTTCAGTATAGGCACTGAAAAGGAAAGACGACAGAATATGCCTCTAGTGCTCTTCCTGCCGGATTAAAAACTTATTTGAAAACTTTCCTTCAGTCTCAAAACAAAACTGCTCCCAATGTAGGTATATTATAATCCACCTTAAAATTAGTAATTATAATTAGCATGTGATCTCCAAATAATAATTATCTGGTGATGTGATGACCTTACTATACACTTGCCTGCTTGATACTGTAGTATTCTCATATTAAAAAAAAATCCGAGATTTCATATTGAAAGGAGTGAGATAATCAATAATATCATGCCTTGTTCTAGGTATACTGCACACTAGGAAACTACTGAGAAAATTCAAGACAGACTAACAAACTACAATGGAAATGTCATGAATGTAATAATTTATGGTTATTAAATTACATTACTACTAATCAAAGAATACACAATTCTGGTATATGTATTAACTCCTGTCCAACTGAACAAGGATTTCTTTTTTGATGTTCCTGCTATTATTGTTAGCAGATAGTCTTCAATAATTTGAAACGAAGCCCTAGGTTAGAAACCAGGAGACTGTTGAGTTCTAGTCCCACCTTAGGTATGAAAGCTATCTGGGTGACTTTGGGCCAATCACTCTCTCTCAGCCTAACTCACCTTACCAGGTTGTTGTTATGGGGAAAATACAAACAGGAAGGAGTATTAAGTATGTACTTAAGTACATACTACAGTGGATTACTCAACCCAGCAGTCAAGCTTTGTCCATAACAACATTTCATGTAGATTTTGGCCAATAAACTGGTTGGCAGAGAATGAAGCTCATGAAAAAGAAATGGTTCTTTAATTTTGTGAGCAAGTTTGTCAAGTCAGGAAGAGCTAAGTCCAAGACATTACAACTGCAGTTTGCTAGGTATTAGACTAACAGAATATGGCCTCCAGCAGCAAAAATACTGTCACTGGAAGAAATGAAACTCAACTGAAATTGCAACATAAAATTCCAACTAACAACAGTGAGAAGTTTCAGTTGGAGGACAATAAATCATCCCCACAGATGGCAAGAGAGAAACCTAGTCAAAGTCGGCAGCTCAGGTTTTAGTTTTGAGGAATGGAGGAAAACAAGATCCCTCTAAATCAAGTGGCAGTGACATAAAAACCATTTACAAGATATAAAAAAAAAGTTAGAGGGAAAAAAAGAGGGAACCTTGCAAGGTTCATGGACAAAAAAAA